AGAAATTAGAAACGCTATTGTATATTCATAAGTTCAACTGAAAAATTGTGTCAGTTACGTTGTTTGAAGAGAATATTTTAACGTGTAAAAATATTGTTTGTATATTCGAGTTGACGGATTCAACTGTTTTCTTTTGATTTCTTGATATATTTGTTGTGTACTTTGTGTTGGAAGAGTAGTGATTCTGTTAGGAAAGATGATATTGGAAAAAAACCTGGGCGTAGATTAATATTTTCCTATTGCTTTTTTCCGTTATACATATTGTCTTTTTCTGATGGTTAATTCTGAAAAATTTGTTTATACATATATATATATATATATATATATATAGACATTTTCAGCTGTTAAATATCCATTTTGTAACAGTTAAACAAGAAATAGTCTGTTGTATGTATGTTTTATTGCCGAAAGCGCTTGGATAAAAACATTCGGACAGTGTTTATATAATTTATCATCCGAAAAGAAAGAAATTATTAGATCCCATGAGAAATTGTATAAAATAACTATATAAAAGAACCTTTTTTATCGTATTCAATGAAAAGTGCATGAAAGAAGGATTTCTGCCTAAATACACAAATACACACACACACACATATATATATATTTATATATATATATATATATATATATATATATATATATATATATATATATAACACACTAAAATTCTTCAGTTTGATAATAATAATGATACTTTAGACGGTACATGTGAAAAACATTAACAAATTTTTATATTTGTGTTCACCCTGTACAATTCCCGGGGTCCACTCAAGGAAGTGGGGTACAGAATAAGAGACACAGCTTATGTGATGGTGTGTGGGAGATAACGATTAACCCTAGAAAGGTTAACATTCAATGATCGGGGAAGCAAACTTTTGGGGGTCTGTTCGTCAAAGCAGTAGCCCGAAGGAAATGAGGGTGGTTCGCTACAGTATGCATGGCATGACGGGTCTTAGCCATTAAGATTAGGGTTATTTGATCTAAAGAGTGTAGTTCATCTGAGCACTCATCATGGAAATATCAATAGAGCATCGAAATGCTTCCGACATCTCGTCTGTGAGAAACGGTTTGGAGAGTGAGAAATAATTCAGTACCGCTTTTGGACTCTGTCGATATTTGAAAGTGAAAACTGGACAGATCCCGCCTATAAGATGGCAGCAATACTACATCTTAATGTGGCTTTCGTAAAGTTAGATGACAGCGGGAGGAGTGAGGTACTTGCTGGAGAAGTACAGGGTACTGATCAGTTTCCCAATATCTTTAGCAATGGAACATATGTACGACTTCCACCTGATGCATGGATTGAGTCCAATATTTAGTCCCGATAGATGGTCAAGGTACGGGACATCCCTCAAGGAAAATTTGGTTATCACAATTTGTTAATGTTCTGCGTCTAATCGGTGATGGTGAAATATCACTAGTCTGGCGTTTAAGGCATTTAATGTAACCAGCCAGAAAGGAAACGAAAAGGACACACACAGTGCTGTTCGATAAAAGTGACTCAACTGATTTTTTTTTACTAAATGTTCTCTTCTCCGATGAAACGAAAGTAGAGCTAAATTCAAAGGATAAGAGATCTAAAATCCGAAAAAGCTTTGAAAGCTCTTTGAATTTAGCAGTAAGTACCGTCAAGTACCCGTTCAGTATAATGTTCTGGGGATGATTTTCTTTTCATGGAACTGGTTTCTTAAAACCTAATGAAAAGACCCTCAGGAGCTAGCAGTACAAAATAATTTTAGAGTCTTGTCTGCTCCTTTCTGCTGAAAGGGTGCAAATCGACCCCACCAAGCTCATTTTTATGCAGGATAATGTTCCCTGTCACAAATCAAAATTGATGAAGGAATACTTTGATGAGAAGCAGGTGAGTGTTATGACATGGGCACCCCAATCTCCTGACCTCAACCCCATAGAAAACTTATAGAGCATGTTGCTCAACTGCTTTCTCGAGAGCCTGTACTTTATAATGCTCCATAGATGAAGAATGATTTTCTATCCTACCACCACTTTCCAACAGTCGAAATGTTTCTAGCTTCTCTAATCTGTTGCTGCTTACAAGGCAGATGTTGAGACGGGCTACATTTTTTGGTTTCACGAAACATTTAAAGCTATGACTCGCCATTCTAGCCATACAGAGTAGACTCATCCTCCTCGTATTCCATTTGTAAGGAAGAAGTGCGTACAGGGGGAACTTCTTCCCAAGAACTGTTACGTTGTGGAATAGACAGCTGACAATCGACTGTTATCTATCTTACATGTCCTTATAATATGCATCTCTTACACTTTCCTTGAACGCACTTACAATTCCGTAGTCCTCCTTCTTGAGTGTCTCTTAAGTCCTTGTAACGATATTATAAGGAATACAGTGCAGATCGAACTCGGAATGATCAGGTTTACTAACAGTGCTTGCTGATCATAGCGTTATAATGGCAATGCAAAATTTAAATCGTTTGGGCATCTTCTTGAGTTTGTTTTTAATGACATCATTATATTCCACTTGAGGCAAATATCCTGGAAATATTAAAATATCTTAAATCCAAAAAGACAGCAAAATAAGCAAAAGCTTTAAAATATTGCTTTGTATTCTTATCGTCATGTCTTTTGTAACGTTACCGCAATGTGATTGGCAAATAGCCACGGGAGAAAAGACTCGAAAAATATCTAAATATTTCCCGTTAACCCGATATCGTTGAAACGATACAAGTCGACAGTGTATTTTGTTTCGCTTTCTTATTTTTATTTTCCATAGATTCCCACTGGAAACGAAAGATTGCTATTGGGAAATAAACTCACACTCATTTCGGTCGCCATTTTAGTTTCAGAACAATGTGTCTTTGCACTGCGCATGCGTGTTTTATTCCTTACCAGAAGGCAAAACTGTTCGTGTCGTGAATATTATTTCGTTTTGCAAACATTGAACACCTGATTAAATATATTTACAGAAGCGATCAGATCAAAAGTAAATTCACAAAATCTTTCATATTTATGAACCAAATTATTAAATGTAAAAAATAGAAATAATAACATTCTTTTTATATTTTATTTTATTTTTTACTTTTTCCTCAATAGGAGGAGATAGGTTCGTTTATCGTTTGTTTCACGCTTTTCCCCTGCTCTTTTGGGCAGGAGTAGAGGTTTAGCTCTTATTTCTGTTTAGGATTGGGTTTCCGGTTCTTTCTAAAATCCACTTCAGCTGTATACTTCTAACGTCTGCGCCTAAAATCTGAAATTGTATTTTTCTATTTATTTATTTTTCCAAAATAGGAGTAAATAGGTTCGCCTACCATCCGGTTCACAATGATTCCCTGATCAAATCTATATTTCTAAATTCTCCGCCTGACATCAGACATTTTATTCACTAATTATTATTATTTTTTTTTACCTTAATTCTCAGGGAGTAGATAGGTTCACATATCGTCTGCTTACTCTCCTTCCCGGTCTTTTGAACAATAGTAGAGGTTTATCCATTGTTGCATGTTTAAGATAGGGTTTCCGGTTCCGACAACTTCAAGGCTATGTTCATAAAGTTCTCGCTTGATTTCTGAAATTTGATTCGCTAATTATTTATTTTATTTTCTTCAAAGTAGAAAGTAGAGAGTTTCACCTATCGTCCGGTTCTCATGACTAAGCGTTTCATTTATCACGAAATAAAACGAATATGCATCCACATGTTAATTTTCTTTCTTTATAAGGATAATAAGAAAAGTGGTTGTAATTATGAAAAAATAAGGAGACAAAACTTGTCTAGATCATTTAATGAAAATGTATATATATATATATATATATATATATATATATATATATATATATATATATATATATATATATATATATATATATATATATATATAGAGAGAGAGAGAGAGAGAGAGAGAGAGAGAGGAGGCACGGTGGAGTAATGGATAGCGGCTTGGATTGAGGAATCGCAGAGTCGAGTTCAAATTCAGTCAAATCCATTAGATTCACTTACGTGCTAATACCCTTGGGAAAGGTGTGAATCCTCTTCCTCTCCCTCCAGCTATGGGTAAAATAGCAGGACAGAATGGGTTCTATAGCCTTGGATGGTAACTGGTCTAGGAGAAAGACAACTCTGAATTCAAAACCTGCGGAAGGTCGTTTGGGAACCTTGTGACATTCGGTGCACCTGGTCTCTGTATTCGTCCCTTCAAAAAGTGTGGATGGCCTTCACCACTATAATCAAATCCCATGTGCAGGTGTCGGGCTGTCGGTTTCCTGGAAACTGATCTGCTTGACCCTCATACGTCGAATCTCGATGGGAGAGTCGATTATATATATATATATATATATATATATATATATATATATATATATATACAACAAAACAAGAAACCAAAACATGGTAAAACCAACAAAAGATTGCCAACTGACCCCAAATACAATAAATCAAAATGAAAAACAAACGGAAAAGGACACACACACACACACACACACACACATATATATATATATATATATGTGTGTGTGTGTGTGGTTGTTGTTGATGGACAAAATAAACAAAATTTCTAAAATAGATTTTCAAAGTTTATAAAATATATTTACAAAATTTATAAGATTTTACAAAATGATATAAGACATAATGCACATACAATAAAATAAAATAAAAAAGTTATCTATATTAGACATTGAAATCAGCTCTTAATAAAAAATTAAATATGAATACGGTACAAATATTTTAAAATCTTCAGAGTAGATATTTTAAAATATCTAGGTTATAACTAATAATTTTCATAGTTTTTCTTCTATTTCAAAAATATTTAGATATTTCAATGACTTGGTTACCTCCCTTGTCGTTTACATGATAAAATTTTAAAACTGTACAGTACATAATCTTAGCGTTTTTCACTTCAGATGTAAACATTTAATTTTCAGATGAACACAGCAAATATGATGAACACAATATTTTGTTTTAGAAAAAAGAATACCCTGACGACGACATTGTGCTAATATCGAAAGTACTCGAAATAAAATGAATATGCATCAACATGGTAGGACGCAATATTAGATAGAGAGGAACATAATCAAATAGATAGATAGATAGATAGATAGATAGATAGATAGATAGATAGATAGATAGATAGATAGATAGGAACAAAATCAGATAGATAGATGGGAACAAAATTAGATTGATAGGAACAAAATTAGATAGATAAGAAAATAATGAAATAGATAGATAGATAGATAGATAGATAGATAGATAGATAGATAGATAGATAGATAGATAGATAGATCTTGGACTGTTTGATGACTGAGTATTAGCGAAATGAAAAACGAAAAAAGCTAAAGTGCTCAGATTTTATCATCATTGAACTTGGTTCCAGATGAAAGAAATCTATAAAACAATATCAGTTATTTTTAGTTTCAACGTCCTAAACAATTTATACAGAGAATAGACTGAACTCCCTTCCTTATGTTTCCCCTACTCCACTGATTTTTACTCATCTTTTTAGGTTAAGATCGGGGAAGTATCCACTTGGGAGTCGGTTTCACAAAGCAGCAGTTTGGGTGAAAAATCTGCTCGAGGGGAAGTTACATCGCACTGATGGAATCCGAAGTTGAATGAAGATGGTTCGTTACAATGTGCGTGGTATAGGTATTCTTAGTTTGTTTGACCACTTTCTATGGAAATAGCGATAATGCAGAGAGAGACTTGTAAAATAAATTAAAACAAATTAAAGAAATTAATTACGTCCGAAATATCATTTCCATAATTTTTTTCTATATTATTTTTAGTAGAAATACAAGTCTCGGGATTTACTCCTGGTAAAGAGTTACTGAATTGGTTGTTTGGAATGAATTTAAGAACAAATAAGATTAGTGGAGATTACAATTACTGGGTTCATTTACTTTTTATTTTTATAAATTTTATATATATATATATATATATATATTTATATATATATATATATATATATATATATATATATATATATATATATTAAGAAATGGACAAAAGTCCGACAATTTATTAAAGACATTTTATGTTTAACAAGTATTTAAGTAAATGCTCTGTTTATAATAAACAGTATTATTATTTATAGAAAATATTCTCGGACATTCAGGCTGGTAAATGTTATTTAATACTGTTTATTATAAACAGAGCATTTACTTAAATACTTGTATCTATAAAAAGAATGTTAAACATAAAAATGTCTTTAATATTTATATATATATATATATATATATATATATATATATATATATATAATTAATTATTCGAAAATTATAACATAAATATGTTATAAAATCACTACAAAATAGCCATTTAGTTTCAACACTTCTGATCTCTTATCAAATGATTGTGCTAAATGTAGAATAAATGGTTTGAAAAGGTTCAAATCAATCAAACATCCCTCGCTATGGGAAACGCTAATACATAAGCTGGAATGACCAATAAAAATACAAGTATATTAGGATTCAAAAAACTTGACAAGGGACTTAGGTTATAATAATATTTTAATGCTGTAATGTTAGGGTTAGATTAAGATAGAATTCATTCTAACTAGTAAATATTAAATTAAACTATAAAATTACCAATTTTAAATTTTAAATTTAATTTATATTAAGTCTAAAATTATAAAATTATTTAGAGAAGAAACTGAGCAAACAAAATACAAATGTTTTTCTATTTATTTTAATTTTATTGAAATTACGTTACAATAAACTTTAGGATCCAATGCTGCTCTGATCTCCATGACAACATAGTTATATTTGGAGTAAAGATATTGGCAGGTTAGGGTGAAACCTTGTAAAAGACAATACATACACAATCAGATTATAATACACAGAAACGTATTTAGATATATACACACGCAAAATAGAGACCAGACAGGAAATATCTCCACGAAACTTAAAAGAAAACCAACATACATGCACAATGAAAGGTACACACAAGTAACACACAGACACCGAAATAGACACGTACATACACACACATACATTGACAATGACACGATATATATTTGTGTGTTTGTGGGTGTGTAAGTGCGCGCGCTTGTGGCTTTGAAAATGACTGAACAATTATTTTTGAAATGACCTTTTTCGTCAGACACTTCAGAATTTTTCGTTGGAACAAGAAGAATTAAATGGGCGAAACTAAAAAAAAAAGTAGACACGTCGCGTAATTAAAACGAGAAATAAATAAAATAAATTTATTAGTCATTATTTTTTCAACTTCGACAATTGTCGTTCAAACGAATCTTTAGGGAGAAGGGTTGGACGAACAAGGTCCTTTTAAAAGAATACGTTCCGTCATTTTTTCAACGCCATATTTAAATTCAGTAGTACCAAACTATTCTTTATATATATATATATATATATATATATATATATATATATATATATATATAATTATTTATTTAAAAATATGATTCCATCGCAACATAAGAGTTCTCTAGTTTCAAGACAAGACCCGAAAACTTCGAAAATACTAAAGAACTTTGGATTATTTACCAAACGAGTTCTTTCCTAGTTTCTATATATTTTTACACACACACACACACATATATATATATATATATATATATATATATATTTATTTGAACGATATATATTTTTTGAACAATATTCTTTTAAGGTGTGCTATGTTTATGGAATAAAGTGCTCAATATCACAGATAGAGCGTATGTAAATATAAAAGGTGGACATTGAAGTCAACACTAAGAGACGGCAGGGTGTTTCACGCTAGACGCAATCGTCAAGCGACATGTGCCATGACGATCGCGTCTGGCATGAAATAGCCTGTCGCCTCTGGTTGACTTCTGATTTCATATATATATATATATATATATATATATATATATATATATATATATATATATATATATATATATATACTTGATCATACAAAAATAACTCCCGGATATACTTGGTCTATTATTTAAGCTTCATCTCCAAATTCTAAAGTTTTTCCCAAAGGATCTTCTTCTAGGCTTATAGATATATCACGTTGAATGAGATGAGATAGATAGATGTATAATGAATATGCCGTGATAGATAGATAAGATATATATATATATATATATATATATATATATATATATATATATATATATATATATATATATATAATATAAAATTTACAGTTTTGGAGTAACACTTGGACGTGTGGGTATTGCGGCCAACAATCGCATCAAGTTAAAACACGTGGCCCCTTACGATCACCCAAGTTAAGTAACGTCAGCCATGGCCAGTACTTCGATGCGTGACCACTTCGCAGTACCAGGTACAGTAAGCTTGGATTTGTGACTGATTAATTGCTCGTCATTGTTAATCGGAGAGCCGAGTTTCAATTCCAGTTGGGTCCATTATATTCACTTACGTAAAAATAATCTTGGGAAAATTATGAATCCACATCTCCCCCTGCTATTGCTTAATTATGGAGACTTTTATTTCTAAACTATTATTATCCATATCCGAAACATTCGCCGTAAACATTTTTGCCGTAAGAAAACTCACCTCAGGAATATTCGCCGTAGGAAACATCGCCGTAAATGACTTTTGACGTAAGACAATTTCGCCGCATCTTTTTTCAATACCCTTATCTTGAACGTCCCTTTTGGAGTAATGTTCAATTTAATATGCGAAGTACCTTGTTATCAAGTATATATGGACGTCTTTTTTACAGGGTCAAACATCAGAAAAGAAATTAAAAATTAAATATTTATTGAAATAACTTGGTTGCGTGTTCAAGTTGTGTGTTTGTTTGAAATAATATATATTGTTTGAGTAAGAATTGTTGATAGACTGATATTATGTTGACTGAAAGTTTAACATTAACACTGAAATATGAAATTGCGTAACGTAGGCTTTGATCTCAAGTTGAAATATTTGCGCTTCTCACTGACGAGGATGAATGATGTAGGATTTTGATCCTTGATCTTCGGTTATTAAAATGTTTAATAATAATAGTGTAAGCCAGATATATTTGATAACACAATACATCGCATATTAAAAAAAATGCGACAAAATTGTTTTACACCAAAAATCCTATACGATATTGTTTTCTACGCCGACTCATTTGAAGTGTTTAATACGTACTAAAACCAGATTCTGAGATTTTAATATGGATTGTGTATATATGCCCTCTCATCATCAGTAAGTTGGCCTCGTGAAGGAAAGAAGGATATTTTTACTCATAATGGAATCGATTGGGATGTGGTATGGAATGTTTAAAGGTTCAGTGGCCATCTGTTCACACTCGTGTTTGTATATATATATATATATATATATATATATATATATATATATACAAAGGAAAAAGCTTAACGCATCATGGAAAACACTGTTCTAAAAGATTTACTTGGATTATCCTTTCCACTTACGGATTTGATAAAATTATTATCTGTGTCTCTGTCTGGCTTTCTACATATATATATATATATATATATATATATATATATATATATATATATATATATATATGTGTGTGTGTGTGTGTGTGTGTGTATATATATAGAAAAATGGAGAGGAAAAAGAGAGACAGACAGACATACATACATACACACATATATATATATATATATATATATATATATATATATATATATATATATATATAATGTGTGTGAAATCGTCCCTGGTTGCAGCGTCGACTGTGTCGTTCGATCCCGTTCGCGGCGCCAATTGTGACAAAACACGTGCTCCCCAGGCTCTGATATCCTGGTCACGGACAGCACCAACCAGACGTCTTTTGTCGCGGCGTCAGCTGTTCGCTCCTCGCTGCTACAAACGTGACGTTCTAATATTTGGTTAGATTGATACCAGCCTCGCCGTTCCCAACCCGCTTCCAACGCCTGGTTACCAGGGTAATTGCACTGATCTCCAGTCTGCCTACCCACGTTGTGACTTGATCTTAGACAGACGAGATCAAACAGGGGTTGGGGCCGTAATGCAAGTTGAGTCTAACGGGGTGATAACACACAATTATGTATAAAAGAAAATAAAATAAAACTCACAAGGTCCAACGTATCAAGAAAAAGGTAACAAACTTTTTATGTGTAATTGCTCGGTACATAGGACTATGTCTACTTCCCGACCCGTTCTGTGGATTGTGGCACGACGCTTTTTACTAGGCAACTTTAAGGCTTCAAGTTGTCTGCTCTCTAAGAAATTTGTGTTTCGGTGTGTCTTTGGACGAAAATCGAAAAAAAGTAATTTCTGTGGTCTGATTCTAAGTCGCTCTTCAAACTACTTGTTCTTGGTTGAAGAAGAGTCCAGAAGTGTGCGTGAATCTTGGTCAGCTATCTTGACGCGGTTTCAACACTGGGCGCTCATCTCTGCTTGTCGTCCACGGCTCAAAACTCTTTCGCCGTCCGCTGCTCAAACTCTCTCGCCGTCCGCGGCTGAAACTCTCTTCTTCTCTTCAGAGTCTGAATTACTGGTCACTCATCTCCGCCGTCGGTGCGCGAATTAACTTCTTCTCTTCGGCTTGTGAATTACTGGTCACTCATCTCCGCCGTCGGTGCGCGAATTAACTTCTTCTCTTCGGCTTGGGTTGGACGAACTTCTTCACTTCGGCTTGGGTCGGACGAACTTCTTCACTTAGGCCAAACGAACTGGCCTCTCTTGCCCGCAAAGGGGCGAACGAACCTGGCCCGCCGTCCGCGGCTCAAACTCTCTCGCCGTCCGCGGCTCAAACTCTGATTTCTGTCGGTTGGGGTCACGCTTTTATTGACGCAGTCAAAACTGGGGTGGGTCTGTCGGCGCCAGGGGTTTCTTCGATAATTCTAAATACGTATCCACCCTTCTTATTTCTGGTTAGGGATTTTCCATTTTCGGTAACTCACTCTCACTCCCACTTCCTTACTGTGCCTCTGAGGGGCGTAAACCCGCTTCTTTCACTTCTTCGTATCGGCTCCTTACACTTACACTTCTGACAATGGCGTCGACCGATTCTCCTCGTGCGTCACGTGACCGCTCTCGGCCAATGAGGTCCTGGTCGGGTATCTTTCCTCCTCCTTCTTGTGTCATGTGATCTTATATAGCCAATGACGTCTTTAGTCGGGCGTGGACAATCCGTGGCTTTGTTTTGGGAAAGAACACCTTTTTAAAAAACAAAAATATTAATTTAAATCGCCCTTATTATCATGAGCGACTGAGATGACACCTTCGGTTTTTAACACGTGGTATTTGTCAAGCAGTTTATCGCTAATTGGATATGATGTAAGAAAGGAATTTCTCAGACATGTTGGCGTTTTGGAACGAAATAAAATATTTCATTTTCCTCCGCTTGAAGGTCTGATAATAAAAACTTTATTATCTCAAAAAAATTTTCCAGCGACATCGTCTTGTGTGGCTTTTTTCTAATTCTGGAGACTGTCTATGTTTTCGTATTAATTGTTTGCCTTCATATCCTTAGATACACTTCCCCACCCACTTAGACTTTTACTATCATCCAAAGTGTCATTTGTTTCCACTTGTTACTTATCAATATTTTTCATTGTCCTTAAACTTCGTTTCTTCAACCAATTGATAACAACTTCCATTTTCCCCAGATCTCGGTTAGATGCTTGACCTGGGTATTTTTCGACGCCTGTTATCATCAGCCGAGCGTGTGTGTGCTCGCCTATGACCTGTTTTCGTATTATTTTTCTTTCTTTTCTTCTTCGTTTTCTCTTTCCTTCTTCCAGATCGCTTGAACGTAAAGAAAGAATTATTCTTAAAACCCAAAATATTTTTTTAAATAATTATTAAATGGTTGATAAACCGTAAAAACAAATCATATATCTATGAATATTTCTTTTCAGCTCGTCAGGTATGCATGGTGCCACATATGTGTGCGTGTGTGTGTGTGTGTATGTATGTGTGTATTTACGCCACAAATTCTCTTTTAGCCATGTCTGATTGAAATATATATATATATATATATATATATATATATATATAAAGGAGGGAAAGAGAAAGAGAGAGAGAGAGAAGGGATTAGCGTATGTGGTATGGAATTAAAGCTGATTTAGTTAAATGTATGATTTTATAAGCGATTAACGTTGAACAGTTTCTTATATACTCGGGTTGACAGCCACACAATTTCTGGTCTGGATATATGTCTAAATCAAAAACTGAAAATCTGTTACAGAAACAATATGAAATATAATGGAGATTTTCTGTCTGGCTATATAAACCTTATGTCTGCTTTTTTATTATTAAATGAAAGTATTGAACAAAATAAGCAGTTATAATGTTTTTAATTATTCAAGCAGGCACATATATATATATATATATATATATATATATATATATATATATATATATATATATATATATATATAAGGAAAAATCTTACCTGGCTGGAGGGGATCCCAGTACGGATGCTCATCATGAATATAGAATATATATATATATATATATCACAGTGGAGTAATGGATAGCGGCTTGGATTGAGGAATCTAGAGCCGAGTTCGAATTCATCGAATCCATTACATTCACTTACGTGCTAATACCCTTTGAGAAAGGTATGAATCCTCTTCCTCCAGCTATGGGTAAAACCAGGACAGACTGGGTTCTATATCCCTGGATGGCAACTGGTCTAGGAGAAGGACAACTCTGAATTCAAAACCTGCGGAGGGTCGTTTGTGAACCAGGCATTCGGTGCACCAGGTCCCTGTATTCGTCCCATCAAAAAGTGTGGTTGGTCCTGCACGAGGCCTTCACCACAATAATCAAATCTCATGTGCCGGTGTTGGGCTGTCGGTTTCCTGGAAACTGATCTGCTTGACCCTCATACGTCGAATCTCGACGGGAGAGTCGATTATATATATATATATATACACACACACACACACTGGGGATTTCATTTCATTCTTGTCATGTTCATGATGAGATCCCCTATTGGGACACCCTCCAGACAGGTAAGATTTTTCCATTATCAAGTCTAGACATTGAATTGAATCAAATTTTGGGAGGTAGATTCTCCTGGATGCCAAGAGGAAGTTTTTATTGACCTGGTCACATGCTGCCGTGTGTTCGAAACAGAATGTATACGATTTCCTATGTGACGTATGCAAATTCCGACATATATATCATCATTAAACCATTTGCCAGAATTAAACCCAAATTGGGTTATCAGTAGTTGACTTTCATAAAACAATGCGAGCCACATTCATATAGTGTTCATTAATCCTTTCAACATAATGGATGAACTTTAGATGCTTTTGAATGTGTCAGGTTTTTTGAGTGCAGTCATTCCGTTTCCATGGTGCATTGTGGCGCAATACATCCCAATTATTGGGAAATGTAATTGAGAAGCTTAATATTGAATGCTGGGAGAATTAAAGCTTTTTTCAAACGTCTATCGTCAGCGCTAAATTATGCTTTATTATTCATTAGTTTTTATATAACCTTCCTAAACTTCTTATGACTAGGTTCGTTATTTTATGTTTTATAATCATATATGGAACTTTGTAATGATTGGATACATATTGGTATAAGTTTCTTTTCCTTCGGGCATCTTTAGTTTAGTGTGGTCAGGGTTGGAATGTAATCCA